CCGGCTTACGATGACGAGTTAAATAATAGCAGTAACAACCGCAGCCGAATTTATTACTGGGCACTTTTCTCAGCGCCAGGCTCTTAACGTCCTTCCCGCAGCTGATTCTCACAACGACTGGTCGGCAGGTCCTATGGCTACGTCCAGTTTGCAGAGGAGGAAGGTGAAGGTTTCCTTCCAGAAATAAGGAGCTAGCAGCTGAGATGCGGTCCTCCTGTAAATGGGGATCCACTCAGTTGTAGCCCCCCCAGAAGCCGGCAGGGGGCTACTCCTTTACTTCATGGCGGAATGTTTATTGAGCACATACTGGACTCTGAACAGTGATCCGGACGCTGGCGACACAGCTGTGACTGGGGCGGGGTGGGGGGAGGAGAGGATGCAGCTCCCGTCTTTGTGATGCATCCCAGTGGGAAGGACTCCAGTGGAGGGAGGCACACAGGTAATGATAACTGTAGGTTCAGTGGCTCCCCTGACAAAATGTAACAGGAAAATAAGAGAGGAGAGACAGCCCCTTGCAGTGCTCATATGGAGAGACCCAGCAAGGACAAGACCAGGAGGTCCCAGGCCTGGCACCTCCAAGACCACAGTGTCCCTCGGGAGTGCACCCTATGCCTTGTGACCTGCCGGCCCCACCCTCCCTGCTCCTTCACTCCTTGCCTTCCCTCCCAGCCTCAGTTTCCTCTTCTGGAACCCAAGCCTGACCAGTCCCAAGTCCAGCAAGACACTGTATTGCCAGGACCAACACAGAGCAGGGGATGCCTGGACTTTACTAAATTACGATTGTTCAGGAGCCTCCTGTTTTCCAGGAATGTCCCCGACATCACCGTGGCTGGAGCTGGGATGGGGGTGGGTCTGGAGTGACTGCAGAGGGCAAGCAGGAGCTGGACAGAGGCCCCTCCAACACTTTCACTTGACCTTGGAGTGAGGTGGGGTTTAGAGTCCCACTGTCCAGGTGGGGAGATCAAGCCCTGTTTCAATTGCTCACCCAGCAAACACTGAGCCCCGCTTTGTGCTGGGGGCAATACTGGCCTGGCCACACAGTCTGACAAAGGAGGCAGATCCTAATGCATGGATCACTTCACCGCTGCCTCCAGGAAGCCTGCCCTGCCTGCCAGCCTGGTCTGAATCAAACCCCCAGAACCCTGACTTCAGCTCTCATGAAGAATACCCTAGAGCAATTCCTGGGTTGATGTCTGTTGCCACTGTGGGGCCTGGAGCTGCCAGGAGAAAAGGTCTCTGCAGTGTCCCCAGGTTGCCAGAGTCTTTAATGAATATCTGCCAGACAAGTGGATCAGTAAGTGCTACATCCTGCGGGGGCCACAAGCCACCTCCCTCCAGGGCCCAGACCAGGACAGTGGGCTGAGGAAGGGGACGTGACCAACCAGCTCAGGTCTCCTGTTGACGGCCTGGGCTGAGTAATTGGGGCTACACACCCCTCATGTCCTTGCCTTGCTGTGGGCAGTGCTCCTCCTCCCAGCTGGGTTGGGGGAGGAGGCAGTGAGTTTATTCTGTGCCAGTTTCTGTGCCAAGAACTCAGAACACTAATCTGGGGCCACTTGATTGAGGTTCAAATCCTGGTGCCAGCACTTCCTGCTGTGTGACTTCTGGCAAGCGTCCAGATCTCTCTGTGCCTGTGTCCTCAGCGGTCCATGGGCGTAACACCTGACCCTGAATCCCAGTGTCAGAGTGAAGATTCGACAGAGTGAGGTACTATTTGCAAAGTGCTTAGAACAAGGCCTGGAACGTGTAAGTTATCTACCACCTTTTCAAGCACAGACCTGTTACTGGTGAGGGGGACTTGACAGGGGAAAGAGCCCCAGAATCCTGGCCCTGCCGCAGCTGAGCTCAGCCAGAAGCCCCGTCATGTTTGGGGGCCTGGGAAGCTGAGGTACAGGGGTGGGGGGGTGAAGGTACCTGGAGACAGGTCCTGAAAGGCTGCCCCATGGGCCACTGCAGCCCCCACCCACCTGCCAGCTGGTTAGCTCAGCTCTGAACCTGGCTCCGTGTCCCTTTCCGTAGGATCAGCAGAACCCCTCTGCTTCCTCTGCAGATCCCTGTGGCTGACGAGTGGGGCAGACCCCCAAGGGTGCCCCCCAACCAGCTGCAGCCTCTTTGGAATCAGAGATGTAGAGGCTGCAGGCTTCAGGCCCAAGCTGGGGAGGGGCCCCGGCTGTGTGACCAGCCTGTCAGCCGCTCTGTCCTGAGTCCTGCCACCTCATGCTGGGTGGGTGGGTCTCCAACACCCCCACCTGAGGACCCACTGTGTGGAGAGGGAGAAGTGGAAGGTCTGGGGGGGGGGGCAGGTGGGGGATGCTGTCCCCTGAGCAGACCTGGCTTGGAGGAAGCTCAGGCAGGTGGCTCCAAGGGCCTGAGCTCTGAGCTCCAACCCTGAGGGCACCGTGCACCCATGTGGCTCTGGACAAGCAGCTGGCCCTGTGAGCTCTGTCTCCTTCCCTGGAAAAGGGGAGCAGAGGCCTGCCTGTGAGCTCCCAGGACGACCTGGTCCCAACAAGGGCCAGGTTAAATGGCCTTCGGGAAGGACCATCAGCCCCAGTTTACAGATTAGGAAACTGGGGCCTGGGGGGCATCCCAGCTCTGCAGGCACCCAGTTCAGGGAAGGGGAGCATCTGGTCCAAGCCTGCTCCGTGGAGTTTGAACCCATGTGCCCACTGTCTCCCAACCCAAGGCTCCCTGAGGGCAAGGCTGGGGCAAGGAGTGTTTGTTGACTGAATAACTGGAGGTGGAACAGGGCAGGAGATAGGTGTGCAGGACCCAGGCTCCCAGTTCCATCACCATGAGGGCAGCCCACGCTTGGCTTTTCTGGCTCAGGGAGCAGGGCGGGGGAGGTGATAGGTTTGAACCTGGGCTCTGCCATCTCCCAGTGATGGGGCCACCCCTGCCCGGCACCAAGCTTCAGTCAGCGGTGCCCCCCAGTCCACTGCACTCTGATCTCACTCCCAGACACGCTGGCCACCCTTCTGCCCCCAGAATAAGCTGTGTCCACACACCCAGGGCCTTTGCACACGTCATCCCTTCCACCAAGAACTCTGTCCTCCTCCCTCGGGGCCTCCCCTCCAGAACCTGGCCCTCCTTGATCCCCTGGGGCCTCTGAGCTCCAGGGCTCCTCCTCCTCACAGGTGTCATGATACGCTTAGCAGTGATTTGCTGACTGTTGAACTCCACAAGTGCAGGTCTGTCTGGGTCACGCTGCATCCCCATTACCCACCAGGGGTCAGGGGTCCTGGCCAGTAAGAGGAGGTCATGAAGGCACATCAAAGGATCCGAGGATAGGGGTGTGGATGGATGGACCACTGGATGGAATGGATGACAAACAGGCAGTTAGATGGATGGGAGAGCAGATAGTCAAATGTGTGATGGGTAGATGGGTGGACTGGTGATGATGGGTGGATAAATGGGTAGGGAACGGATGGACAGATGGATGGATGGGCAGATAGACAGGTGGGTGGGTGGGTAGGTAAGGTAATCAGATGGATGGATGGATGGATGGATGATGGACCAGTGGCTGTCAGTCTTCAGGTCTCTGATGTAAGACATGGCACCAGAGTCCCCTTCTGGCTCTGCCTTTTGATGGCTTCACCCCTAGTTACGGGCACACCAGAGAGGCTCTTACTCCCCACACCCTTACCAGGTCCCCCTAGGGTGCGGGGCAGGGCCTGCTGACTGCAGAGAAAGCACAGCCCCTCCCCAGAGCCAGACCCTGGGCAGGGAGGTGGCAAGACTTGGGGTGCCCCCCTTGGGAGAGATGCCCCCACATTTGGAGGAGGAGGTAAAGGAGGGTCCTGGGGAGAGACAGGCGTCTCTCTGGGAAGGAGAGTCTCAAACCATGTGAGGTGAGGTCTGTGACAGAGAAGTGGGGGTGAGGGGGAAGTAGGGGCTCTCAGGCCAATGAGGGGGGTCTGTCATGGGGTCTGAGAGAACAGATGGCATCTCAAGAAAACGGGGACGAGGTGCTGGGACACCTGAGAAGTCAGGCCATCTTTATGGATGGGTTAGGAGTGGTTTGCAGAGGCAAACAAGGAGCTTTTTGCCAGATATACTGAAGTAGCTTGAAGACAGAGGTTTGTATCATTTGGGAGATACACTGGGGTGTTTCCAAAGAGAAGTTGGGGGTATGTTTAACTGAGAAGTTGGTGTGTGCTTTATCTTGGAATAAAACAGAGCTGTCTGAGAAACACTTGGGGTTCGGGGAGGGTTCGGGGAGAGACACACTGCCTCCCACACCCTCCCCCAGGAGGGACGCACCCAGGGCCTGGCTCTCTCCTCCCCACCTCCCCCAGGGAGATGGACCCCGACCCCTGACCTGAGAGGGCCTCTTAACGTGCAGGAGGGCTCAGACTCCTCAAGGTCATTCCCAGGTTTAATTACAAACAGATTCCAAATGTCCATCCAGGTTGACAGCAGGGAGGGCGGGGCCTCACAGCCACCTCCACCAGGGGCCATTGTCCAGGATTTGCCAGGATGCCTCCCTCATCCCAGGGGAGCCACAAGGCTGCCCCTTCAACATTCCCCATCAACACATCCACACCAGCACTCGGCCTGGGCTGAGGACCCAAAGCACCTCGATTCCTCCCCAGAAAGACAACTGTGCACAAATTTTTCAGGAGGAAAGACTGAGCCCAGCCAAGCCAGGAATCCCTCTCCATGCCAGGGAGATGGGGACCCTCCCAAGCCAGGGAGGTGAGCTGATGTCCAGCCCTGTCAGGGACCTTGGCCAGGGCTCCCAGGTACGTGGCTGCTTTTTGATATATTTTCCTTAAAGGCGAGAAAAGGTTCTGTCTTTGGTATATGCACCCTCACTCTAGGTGAAAGGTGCAGGCAGGTGGGGACTCAGCAGGAGAAAGGGGTCTGGGGCCCCGTCTCCTGGCCCAGTTGACCCAGCCCAGGGCCAGCTGGAGAAGGAAGATTCCAGAGACCCACGCAGAGGAAGGAGAGACAGCGGCGGTTCAGGCCCAACCAGGGTCCAGACAAAGGCTGAGGAGCCCCTAAGGCCACGACAGGGGCATCAGGGAGCAGGGCCAGGACCCGCGGGCTGAGAATCACCACCTGGGGGAGACAGTGAAGGAGAGGCCAGGGTCAGCAGAGACAGCATCAGAGCCCTGGGTTCAGGTGTCAGAGTCCTCAGTTACAGGGCAGCAGAGTGACCCAGCGACAAGCCTCAGACTGAGAAGGGCCAGGGCTCAAGTCCCGGCTCCTCCATGTACTTGCCATGTGACCTAGGAAGGTCCCTTAAGCTCTCTGTGCTGCTGCTGCTTCTGCAAAATGAGAAAGCTATTAACAGTACCTGTCTCAGAGCTGCGTGGGAGTCAACACGCAAGTATGTGGGGAGGAGCACAGTGCCTGGACATAGCAACTTCTGCATTAGCCGCTATTATTACTGCCATCAGTGTTGTTTCTCGGGTCACAGACAACTTAGGGGGTAGAGGGAAAGCAGGTCATACCCTAGCTCCTGCACCCACAGCCCCGTGGCATTGCAGATCACTTTCAGTGTTCCCTAGGACCGCCCCAACCCCTGAAGCCCTTTCCTGGACTGGGAATCCCTTCTCTGCCTGCAGCCGAGGCCTGGCTGAGGGCAGAGAGGAGGCCAGCCCAGTAGGGGAGGAGGCAGGAAGGAGGCTGTTGTCATAGGGACAGGAGAGCAGCCCAACCTGGCCCAGAAGCCTCTGGCCTTTGGGGAAATTCCACAGCCTCTTTCCCTGCCAGAGCTGGGTCCCCAGCTCCCAGCTTTCCTCCTCCCCAGAGTCGGCTCGCCCACCCCCGCAACCCCCTGCACCCAGCTGAGCAGCAGCCTCCCTGGCCTAGAGGGCCCCCACCTCATCCCAGACCCTCCCTCTGAGCAGAGAGACCCTGGAATCACCTGGACCTTCCTGTCCTTCCCCCACTCAAGACTTTCAGGGGCTCCCAAAGTGGCAGGCGCAGGGTGCACCTTCTCCCCCATCCACCTCTCATCCCACACCGGCCCCCCTACCCAGGACTCAGCCATTCTGGGCCCTCCTCCAGCGTAGCCAAACGCCGCCTCCTCCTAGAGATTTTTACCACCAGTTCAGTTCAACCCAGAGTTACCACAACAACTCAGGGAGCGACTGCTGATGGGGACGGGGTTTCCTTGTGGAGTGATGGAATTTTCTGGAATTAGATGGGGAAGGCTGCACAGCACTGTGAAGTTACTAAAACCCTCTGCATTATGCCCTCTGAACGGATGACCTGTGTATTATGTGCATTCGTCTCAGTCTTTAAAATGAGGAAAACCTGGCACACGGGGGCATGCTGGGAGCCCACGTGGACGTGCGCACCTGGCTCAGGGCTCCCGCTTGACCGCGCCGCGCAGGTGCAGCTCGCTCCCCGCGGCCACAATGGGCTGCCCGTGCTGCAGGTGGTAGTCGACCAGGTGGCTGATGCTTTCAAACAGTGCGTCCTTGGTCCGCACCTGTGGGGCCGGGGCCTCTGCGTCAGCACCACCAGGAGCTGCATTTCCCAAGCCCTCCTGGCGACTCTGACGCCTGCTCAAGTCTGAGAGCCTGGGTCAGAGACTTGCCTCAGAATCCCAGAGCTACATGTGCACCCAGGCTCCAAAACCACCAGCACTCCGGGGCCACGCTTCCTATAGCGGGTTGAACAGTAGCCCCGGAAAGACACGTCCACATTTAACCCCTGTGAATGGGCTCTTATCTGGAAAAAGCGTCTTTGCAGATGCGGTTAAGTGGAGGGTCTGGAGATGAGGTCATCCTGGATTACTCAGATGGCTCCAATCCAACAAATGGTGTCCTCATCACAGAGACGCAAAGAGAAGCCACCAGAAGACGGAGGCAGTGACTGCGGTGATGTGTCAATGAGCCAGGGAACCACAAGAGTTTGTAGCAACCACAGGAAGCAGGGGGAGAGGCCTGACCTGGACCCCACCTCAGAACCTCAGAAGGAACCAGCCGGGCCAACACCTGGGTCTCAGACTTCAAAACAGGGAGCGAACACATCTCTGTGGTGCTAAGCTGCCCAGTTTGCAGTCATTTGGGAGAACAGCCCTAAGAAATGAACACACCCTTGGAACCTTGTAGACATACCTCCGAACACCAGAATCACCAAATACAAAACCACCCTGCATCTCAGAATGGGAAAGTCTGAACATCCCAGGGTGCAGACCTGATGCAACGCAGAGACCCTCTGGCCCCTTACTGCCCAACTTTCCTAGGTGGGGCCAGGCTCACAGGACACAGACCACCTGGGAGTGGGCTTCCAACGCACAGGCTGGGCTTACGGCAAACCACCTGTCTCCACGGTACTGGGGTCAGGGCCCTGGAACCTGCATGTTAACCAAGAATGCGACGGGGTTCTGAAGCCTCTCTCCCCCTGGAGGTCTATTTAACAGAAAGGGCATCACGCCAGGCAGATATCAAGGCTGTGAGCAGTGCGATCAGACATGGGGGAGGAGGTGGCTCCAGGAACTGAAAGAACCGGCCAGGAACCACGGCCCCACCTGGGCCAGGCCACACCCCCTAGCAAAGTTTGCCCTCTGTGGGGACAAGGAGCACAGGTAGCCACCAGGGCGATGCCCAGGATTCAGGTGGACATAGTTGAAGCACATGGTAAACCCTGAGAAGCCCCTGAGCACCCTAAGCACCTGTCACCTGGGAAACAACCTCTAAAGCCCGAGGCCCTCGGATACTGGCAAACGCATCAAAACCCTAGAACTCCATGTAAATTATAAAGTGCTTTGTGGACCTGAAAATGCTTCAGGAGCTGTTGAGTGCCAAACTGCATGGACTCACAGCCACTATAAGATGCACCCCTATTTTATCTACCACAGGAGAGGATAAAACTTCCACGTAAAACAATGGTAAAAGGTCAAAGATGCAATTTATGGTTAAAAAAAAAATCCAGACTTGAGATGTCAAAATGAGAGAAAGAGAAGTGTATTAGAGGACTGAAGCAATTTGGTAACTTGCACACCCTAAAACTCCTTTGAAAATGAAATGTGCTTTGTGAACCCTAAAATACATTATAAACTGAAACTACCATATTTATCATTCAAAGACATCGCATTTGTAAGACGCACTGGTGATGACAGAACGTGGGGGGGGGGAGAGCATCTTACAATGGGTGAAATTTGTAAGCCCTGAAAGGCCTTGAAATTGGAAAAGATTTTATAACCCCCCAAATGCTTTATAGACTGGGAAACCCTTTGTAAACCTAAAAGTCTTCTTAAACTGGAAAATACTTTGTAATTCTAAAGTACCTGGTAATGGGGAATAGAATCTGTAAACAAAAAGCGTTCTGTAATGCGGACAGTACTGTATCAAACCTATAGGGAGCTTAGAAGGCGGCGTCCTGGGCCCCCTGCAGAGAGGAGGAGGGGGGCTCTCCCCCAGCACCACCCTCCCCACACCGGCTCTGGGCCCTCTTCACCCCTCAAACCCCTTCCCCACCCTCAACCCCCTTCCCGCCCCTCCCCCGCCCCCACCACCTCCCCCCCGCCCCCGACCCTCCCCCACCCACCTCCGCCCCTCGCCGTCCTTCC